GTTCAGTGTACATACAGGCTTGCTTATTTGGGAGATCTAAATGGCACTAATTCCAGTTTTTCGTCAATTGTCAAAATTCGATTGTGTTCCTCTCCACCACGGTGGTGGGCCAGCAATGCCAAACAAACTGCATATGTTGACACATAGGAAAGAACTTCAGGCCCCAGTCCTCTCGGCTGCACCTCGGCCGGCCTCGGCTACCTCGGCTTCACCTCGGCCGCACTCTCCTAGCCAATGGATATTCATTGTTTGTATGTTTAAAATTTCTGAAACACGACAATTGTCATTAAAGCATGGTCTGGCAGCTATGCAATATCCGGATGAATCATCGGGAATGAGGCATCTGTTACCGGCTGGTGTACCATATGCTCCAAGCTTCTACGATTATCAATCAGCTGCGCATATGCATCCAATGCATGTACAGGTACTTCTCATTGAGATCACTCAAAATCCAAGTGCCAGCTTTTCTCGGATTTCTTCTTTTTTGGCAGTAATTTTTGTCACCCTAGCAACTGGAAAATAGGAGTTACCAGTGGATAAGTTAGTAATAAACAGGAGTTTTTTCTTTTTTGACGGTGATTTTCTTTTTTGACGGTTTTTTGTTTTTTAAAGGTAAATTTCTTTTTTAACCGTTTTTTCTTTTTTAACGGTAATTTTTATCACCTCAGCAACTGGAAAATAGGAGTTAGCAGTGGATAAGTTAGTAATAAACTGGAGTCAAAAGCAACCCATAGCACAAGGATATATCGCAATTTCGACATCTCTTTGGTACCTAGGTCTTTTTTTTACTGTTTTTCCCTCCCTCGCCTGCTCCTCTCTATCCACTTAGTAAACTAAGTATTTTTGAAGAATTTTTACTAAAATATAGCGTTTTTTATGCATTTTTTTTGCTAAGTTTAGCGTTTTTGAGTCGAAAACGAAAGGAAGTGTTGATTGCAGCCTAGAACGTAAGAATATATTGCAATTTTGGCATCCCCTTAGTGCCTAGGGCTTCTTTTTTTCTGTTTTGCTCTCCCTCGCCTCCTCCTGTCTATCGAATTAGTAAAAAACTAAGTATTTTTGATGCGTTTTTTCTAAAATATAGCATTTTTGATTCTTTTTTTTTCTAAATTCATCATTTTTGGATCCATTTTTTGCTTGTTTTGGTAAACAACCACTCAGATGGCCTCCAGACAGTTGGTACACCTGTGTAGTTTAGGACCACAAAAGACCTGGTGTAGCTGTCTCAGCATGTGAGGGCATTCCAGTAACATTAGTGGCATAAAATCCCTACACCAACTATTTGAGCGCTGTTGCTACTCTTAGTATTTGCATGCATTATGCAGTGGAATTTTTTCCGCTAAATTTTGCAATAATTCTCCTAATTTTTTTCGCATTTTTTTGCGTACGGAAGATTTTGTCGATTGCAGAGGACATTCGAATCTCCCTAATTATACCTTTGTATAACAGTGCAAACTAAAACTAATTAAATTGATTTTTTTTTTTTTTTGGTGCACTAAGCTTGAATTATAAAACAAAGATCTGCTTATTGTGTCGAAATTTAACAAAACAGACAAAAATATTTACGAAATTTGTTTTTTTTTGACGCACTAAGCTTGAGTTGTAAAACAAAGATCTGTTTATCGTGTCAAAATTTGATGAAACAGGCGAAAATGTTTTGTTTTTTCTTTTTCAAAAATGCAGTATTTTTTGAAAAAAAGCGTTGCTCAGTGCAGTATTTTGTATTTTTGAAAAAAAAAAACCGTTGCTCAGCGCAGCACTATGGATGCAATATTTGTGCGCTCTGATGAACTCGATCATTTTTTTCAGTTAAAAATGTTATCCTTTAAAAAAGCGAGACGTGAAAATAATAAAATAACACGTCATTTGAAGTAAAAGCACAAAAAATGTTACTGAAAAAATAGAAAAACACCGGGGAGGGGCGGAAAAAGAGGGGTGGGGGGTGTAACGAGGGGGCAGGGA